TGCAGCATGTTCTGGCAAGATGGCCAGCACACCCAGGACAGATGCTTCCCTCACCTCCCCACTGTGGACCCCTCCTGAGCTCTAGCTCACATCAGTCCCTCTCTGATGACAGTTGCAGCCAAAACAAGACCCCACCAGAACATCTGAGCCTCAGCATTGACCTGGTAGCCACAGAGAAGCTGTGGGCAGCTGTGCTCTGCCCCTGGAGATAAACAGGGCTATTCTAAAAGCAGGCCAGGGACCCACAGGCAGCTGCCAGGCATTCCCCACAGGCCAAGTTAAGCTCATTGGCCCTACTTCAAAGGCAGAATAGCATCTGTCCCTCACAGGCTCCGGAAAGGAGAGGTCAGCTCATTGTGACCAGTGTGTCTGGCTGTTCACATGGCTTCTATTCAAAGACAAGTTTTCCCAACACTCCCTCCCTGGCCCCTGCCATACACACATGTGCACACGTGTATACACACAAAGGTTCTCAGTGTCTAGGACTGAAGGCAATCAGAGGGTAGGCAATCTCTCAGGAAATGGTGGCTCCCTCACCTGGAAACTAGCACAGGAGTTTGGTTCACTGCAGGACTTTAGAGTGGACCTAGGGAGAGAAAAGGGAGTCCTGGTCCCCATTCTCCACACAGACTGGCTAGATCCTCCTGTCTGCCACATCAATGATACCAACAACTGACTCTAAGCTCTAGATATCCTAGTACCTCAGGCCAATGTTGTTCCAAAATGAGGTCCAGGGGGCAGGATAGGAATCTATTTCAGGCCCGTCAATGAGTGTTAGGCCTCCTGGCCACCTTGGCCACTACAATGCTATTAGGAGCAGAGCAACAGAGAATCCAGCTAAATCCTGTCCGCAGCCATCAGTGATGAGAGCAGAGTGAGGATATGGCAGCAAGTAGCTCTTTGAAAGATGTCAAATAGGAACAAATGGGGATATGATAAAGATGAACTAGAAAAAGAATAATTTTATAACAGGACACATATACAAAATCAACAGCCAACTGCATACTTAGCAATGAAATACCAGAGAAATTTCCAGGAAATTCAGGAACAAGACAAGGATGCCTATTGTATCAATGCTCCAGAAGTCTGGGCAGTTTAATAAGACAACAAAAACAAAGGAACTCTAAGTACTGGGAAGGAGAAAACAAAATTTTTCTTACTGGCAGATGATAATACTGTCACGCAACCCAAGAGAATTGGCTCAAAATCAAAAAGGAAAAAGTAGTTCAGCCACTAGCTATGACCTGTACAGTCTCAATTTCCTCATGGGTAAAACTAACATAATGACACAGCCACTTAAAAGACAAAATAGTGAATGTATGTTAAGCACTTAGAACAGTCGCACTTATGAACTCAGTAAATATTAGCTACTACTATGAAATATTTTTAAATAGTTTAGCATATAATAGAAATCTAATATGATAAGGTAACCAGTTAAAATATAATGATGAAGTAACAAAGTTTCAATAACAGAAACTGCCTAGGAATAAACTTGAGAAATATGTAAGGCTGATACAAAGAAAACGTTATAAGATAGAAATAAATGAATGAAAGAAAGACCATACATTAAAACGTACATTCTCCTCCAAGCCCATCACTTCACTTGCAGACTTAGTCAGGCACCCAGCTGCACAGCATGCTGTGGAATCTTCCCTACAAACTCACCCACACACCAGTCCCCCAAACAGGTGAACTGACACTTCTCACTGTAGGCCTGCCTGGCTCCTGGGGTAACCTTCTATCACTTGGTACTTGGCTATCTGCATTAGTTCCCCCATTTTTCTTCCCCACAGGCTATGAACCCACAAGGTCAGACTGAGTCTTCAGTATCCCATACCCCTACAGCAGACTCATACCAGATATGAGTAAAAACTAGCTGGGTATGCAAACGAACTTCCCCATCATGCCAGGGGCAGACAGGAAAGAGGATTTGCCCCTTCAGTGTCACTAGAAGGACCCACAAAGACACCTACTTTGGGTTTTGCAATCTCCTTGATCCTCTCGATTTCCTCGTCTGACATGACATCGTAGTACCTGACGATGTGTGGGCTGTCCCACTCGTCCTCCTCTTTGAAGGGGGCGATGAGCAGCTGTGGAGCCCTGTTGCCATGGTGGTACCTACAGAAGAGCCTCTTTTGCCTCCGGGGTGTCTGGGGAGTACAGAACCACAGATCCTGAGCTGAGTGAGCCCCAACCTACAGTCCCAGTCTGCAGTACAGACACTAGTCTCTCATTGCATGGCTAGCAGCTGCTCCCGCCCACCCTTCCACAGAAGAAAACAACAATCCCTCAGTTTGGCATGAAATGACACCCCGCAAGTCATGCAATTTTTCTTCTCACCCAAGATCACTTCACACCCACAAATCCTCTGGCAGAGAGTAATTCCTAACCCCTTCCACAGAGACTTGAGTAGCTTTGGAGGGCTGGTGCAAGGAGGAGCCAGC